ATTCTGCGTCGAACGAGGTATATTTGAGCGAAAAATAAAATAGTGCTCGACGTTTGAATTTGGAGCACCTTACTATCTGACTTGATTTGGTACAACGATTTTTAGGCTAGTGAGTTTTAGCGTCAATCGTATAAAAGTGAATACCCGAAAGAGCATTACAGAATGGAAATACTCAAAGTCCTTAACTTTGAACATTTAGTTATATTGATTAATATAAGAGCAATCACTATAATTTGTTCGAAATGTTGATGAATAGATTGCTCTACTTGAATCAGAGAGCTTTAATTGTAAAACAAGACAAAGGCCTTACTACCTATAATGAAAGTCTGCTGTCACTTACCGAAAGAACATATCCTTGATAAACATGATCTTTTGTAGGATTAATTTCTCGTAATGAAATTTCTTTCAAGCCAATTAATGACTTGGCTGTTTGTTGTCGAAATCTAGGTTCGTGATGTTGAACCGGAATACAAATACCGGGATTCTTAGTGTGTTCAATGATGTCTGCTTCGCATTTACGATGAAGTTTGATGACTTCTATTCGATGTGGATCAGTAAGACGTGCCTTGTGATTAACAACAGAAGCCACTGCTTCTGGTGTTGCTTTTGTCTTTATTAGACTCAGAATATTATCATCATTCAGAAATTCAAGAAGCTTTCTACTGCTGGATTCATACGGTAAGAAACATGGTAGTTGTAATTTTTCTGCCTCTTTACCTTGTTCATACATTTTCTTGGAGACGTCTAGACCATCATGAGTTTGAAGTGCAAGATAACACATTGCCATCGAATAGTATGCATCTGGTACTTTGCGATGATCCTTAGGAGCAACGGCCAAAAACGATTTGTATGTTTCAACAGCTTCTTTGTTATGATTCTCCAATTGACGCCACGCGACGGCTTTATCAATTAATAACTCGCTATTCGTTGGATCTAGTTCTAGACCAGCATTAGCATTGTACACGACAGCGTCATACCGTTCTAACCAACCATTGATTGAAGTGCTAAGTTCAAAAAAATAGATTGACTTAGGATATTTTTGCTTGCATGAATTGAGAAATTCGTCGATTAATTCATGTGAATCCATGTGTAGTGAAGCGTAACAGATTCGAGCATCTTCATCTAGCTGTGATGCAGGATAACCAGGCATTGCTTTGCATCGACGAAGTACTTGATCAACGATTTTTCCAACTTTTTCACGTGTTTTTAAGTTAGGAAATTGTGCAACAATATCTTCCAGACGATAGCATTCTGAAAGTTCATGCACTAATGTATCTTCTTGTTGTTCAGTCAACATGTCAGACTCGATTAGTATTGTCAATGCTATATAGAAATGTTCTAGTGCGTTGCATAATCTTTGAGCAGTTCTTGAACCTTGATTTGCATATTTGCTTAGAACATCGTAATCATATTTGGATTGTTCTTTAGACAGTTCATAAATGGATTTTGATGTTTTTAGAGAATCCCATACATTTTTCATTGCATTGACCATTGGCACAATATTGGATGGAAAACTAGCCATCAGTTGTTTTTTCTCTCTTAAAGTCGTCTCAAAATCAGTACGTTTCATTTGAGCAAGAACGCTACCGGATTCGCATGCTCGATTAAACCATGTTTCTGCCATAACGAAGTCATTTTTATCGAGTAGGAATTCAGCTAAATTTATCATCGCATTCGGATCACCTCTTCTAGCAGATAATGTAAACAATTGTTCGGCTTTTTCAAGATCCTTCTCAACGCCCTTGCCAACTTGGTACATTAATGCCAGACTATTTGCTGCCTCAGCATTACCATGTTCGACAGCACGCTGATACCAACTAGCACCATATGCTGGATTCTTATGAGCTCCAACACCTTCAGAATAATGAAGCCCTAGAGCATTTTCAGCTTCAGCTACACCAATGTTCGGACGATCTTTAAATTTAGGATGCTGTGACGGTTGTGCAGCAGCTTGTTCAAATAATTTAAGAGCCATATCATGATCTTTTTTAACGCCTAAACCAAGATTGGTTAATCGAGCTAGATTATACATCCCTGCTGCACTCCCTTGACCTGCGGCTTTCGCATAATATTTAGCAGCTTGTTCATAATCTTGTTTAACATCAATATCTCCATGCTCATATTTATATCCTTTGAGAACATCAGCTGCAGCTGAATCTGTTGCCTCTACTAAGCTATGTAACATGCGCAGATTTTCTGGATTTATTCCCACTGTTTGTTGTAATGCATCTAATTGCTCATGAACCGTTCGTGGACTAAATCTTGGATCAAGGTGTTCATAACGCATTTGTCGACCAAGTATATGACGACTTTCATCTAATGCTTTTCGTATTTCATCTTTTGTAGGTTCAAGAGCTAATGCTCGTTCGAATGAATTAACAGCTTTATCATGTTCATTTAAAGTAGTATATACTTTTCCAACGCGAAAATGACCTTTCCACCATGTTGGCCAAAGATTGCGAGCCTGTTTTGCATCTTGAAGTGCAAGATATCGTTGATCTCTTGAATCATGTATTTCAAAGATGGTTGCAGTATCATTCTTCTGTTTTTCATACAATGCAAGACGACTAGATGACATATTCGAATAGAAAATTGCACGATCATGATCTAATACACCCGATAAAACGGTTGCTTTCGTAAATAATGCAATAGCATTGGATAATTTTCCATCTTTATGAGCTTGTGTACCAAGTGTATTCAGACGTGATGCTTCTTTAACGTTTTCTTCATTGATCAATTGAGTACGGACTTCAAACACACTATCATCTTTGAATTTGTCTAATTCAGAGTCACATTCACCAAATGCTATTAGAATATTTGTCACATCAGTCCAGAGTTGATTAAATTCAGCATCATCTATAGATTTAGATGCATGATGAGCTAACTTATTTCTAATATCTCTTAATTGTTTTAAAAGTAAATCTTCATGATCGAGTTCTTGTATTTGAGTTTGACTCAATGTTTTCGGACGATCAGCATTGAGAAGAAGAGAAGTAAGTGTCGTTATATCCCATTGATTTGAATCACCATTAGCAATAGATATTGTTTGAACTTTGGTCAAATTAAATTTCTTATTTTTTGCAATAACATTAGTTAAATAATTATTTCCGCAAGTTGATGAATCATCCCATATTTGACCGCTGTTGAATAGAGAATAACGTTTTTTAAATAATTGACGAAGTATAACATACGATCTTGCTATTAAACAATCTAGTTTAAAGTAATTACGGACGTCCTTTTTTATAGTACTCATCATAAGAACGAATATGAAGAAGTTTTATAATAATGTATGTTAAATATGCAGTCGATGACTATTTATATTAGTTCTATACTACTTTATAATAAGAGCAAGATGTTTTGTTTTATATATTTGCTCTTACACAGAAAGCTTGTTGAAAAACAAGTCTAGTATCAGAAATGGTCAAACATAATATTTACATGGTTACTGATTATATTTATCTTTATTTTTTTTCTCATTGAGATAAAATGTTTGTTAACGAGTATAAAGTTTCATAAGAACTTTTTTTCTCTATGATATAAAACAATATGTTGTGATGGAAATCAATCGATCAACAATTAAGTATTTATGGAAAAAGAGTGTGAATATATGTTCATGAAGATATTCTCCACATCCACGTTTTTCAGAGTGTTGAAATTATCGATTCAACATTAAAATAAATTGTTATTGAGTTCTAACACTGTTGAAGGATTTTTGTTTTGTCTATTATTTGTCACGTTGTTGTAAGAAAGGAAACATACCTTGTTGTACATTATGGATTTTTTCGTTTCATCGAGTACACGTGTCTGAGCTATGCTTGTCAATGAATTGAATCATTGATGTAAAAATAAAATGATAAAAGAACAAAGAAAAAGATTTTTTCGTCCCATTCATTCGGATTCGTGAATAGTAAACGTGAAATGTTTGATTGTTTAATTTCTTAGGCAGCTATTTTGTTGAAGAAAAAAAAAATGTACATGTGTAAGAAAAGAAAGGTCGTTCTTCTATGGCTTTATGTTTCTTTTTATCTGTTCTGTATATGTAAAAAAAAAATAGTCGGTTGTCGTATTTCAGCAGTTGTATTCAAATGTTTAATGATGGTAAGCGAAAATGTACTTTTTATTTTTGCTCTGAGATTTATTTTAAATAAATTGAAAGAAAAATTAAAAGCTTATTATATTTTTTTATTTTCTTTGAGAATGAATCAACTGATTTAGCTGTTTGCGTTGATGATGCATGGAAAAAATATGGTTATTGGTGGAAATCAATAACAGTTTTACATGGTGTAAATGTTAATGTTCCAACAGGAAGCATGTATATTATTTAATTATCAAAACAAAAAAAAAAGAATAATAATAAATATTTAAATGTAGATATGGTTTATTAGGTCCATCAGGATGTGGAAAAACAACACTTTTACGATGTATTGTTGGACGTTTAGAATTAAATAAAGGTGAAATAATTGTTTTTGGTAAAAGACCAGGTACATATGAACATAAAATTCCTGGTCGAGATGTTGGTTATATGCCACAAGAAACAGCACTTTATAAAAATTTTTCAATATCAGAAATGCTTCATCACTTTGGTCGTCTTCATAATATGAAACGAAGAGATATTTTATCTCGAGAAGAATTTCTTATTTCATTTCTTGATTTACCTTCAAAAACAAAGCGAGTTTCACAATTAAGGTTCTATTTTTAATTTTTAATAGAAATGTTCTTATATTTATTGTTTTTTTATATTTAAGTGGTGGTCAACAACGTCGTGTTTCATTAGCATGTGCTCTTCTTCAACAACCAAAACTATTAATACTTGATGAACCAACTGTTGGAGTTGATCCATTACTTCGAGAAAAGTTCATTATTGAAAATTTTTATTTTATTTGTAATTGAATTTTTTGTTTTGTTAAAGAATTTGGCACCATCTTATATATTTATCAGAAACAAGTAAAACAACAATAATGATAACAACTCATTATATTGAAGAAGCAAGAAAAGCTAATCGAGTTGAAAATTTTCTCGTTTTTGTTTTTTATTTATGAACTATTAAAAGAAATTTTTATTTAGGTTGGACTTATGAGAAGTGGAAGAATATTAGCTGAAGATGAACCAAATAATCTTTTACATCATTATAATGAAATTGTTTGTTAACAAATCTATTAAAAACTTACTCAATTCGATCAGATGATTTTTGTTTTTTTAGAGTTTAGAAAATGTTTTTCTTCGATTATGTTATGAAGATCAAAATCGTATTCAACAACAAACATCAATGAATAATATCGATGGTGATCGCGATACCGATGTATCCAATAGTATTGATGATCAATATATAGATTCAACTTATGTTGCTGATACAACTGTTCAAAGTCTTCTGGGAACAGTTAACAGGAAAAAAACCTCACGAAAAAATTGTAAGTATAGAAAATAATAAAAAATATATATTCATTAATGTTTAATCAATATGTGTAAAATAAATAGTTATTGATTATTTTAAATTTCCTCATATACATAAAATTTATGCATTAATAATGAAAGATTTAATATTAATTAAACGAAATCTTAGGTAAAATTAGTTTATTTTTTCTTCTCGTATTTGTTTTAATGATAAATATTGATTTTTTTTTAGTTTGTTGATATTTCAATTTCTAATTCCTGTTATTCAAATTTCACTTTTTTGTCTTTGTATTGGTCGTAAGTTTAATTAATTTTAAATTATTTAAAATATGATATTTAGGTGATGCTGAACATATTTCAATGGCTCTTTATAATGGTGAATCAATACATGGATTTCAAACAGGAAATTTAAGTTTACAAATTTTAAATAAAATAAATCCTCAACAAATTGATATTGTATGTTAAAATAATTTGTTTCTTATTTTTAATTATAATTGATTTTATTTAAAAATAAAAGACATCATTTAATGATTTTAATAAAGCAATGGATCTTGTTAAACAAGGACAATATTGGGGTCTAATTGCCATTCAAGAGAATTTTACACAAGCAATTAAAAATAAGTTCGTATTAATTTTAATTTATATTGAATTTTAATTAATTTTTATTATATTTTAAAGATTAATAGATTTTCAGACAGATCCAACTACTCGAAATGAATCATCACTTCATCTTTATCTTGACATGACGAGTAAGTGACTTTCTCAACTAATGGAGTCTGAAATAATTCTAGAATTTTAAATAGAAAATATAATAAATCTTACATAAAATGAAAGTCTGACAAAAATGTAATATACTATAGTGAAGTTTACAAAAACATTTTTATATTACAATTCAGAAATTTTATACTTTTCTTGGATACTTTTAGATAGTTCGATAGAGCTTCTATATGTTAAGAAATTCGAATGCGTATTTGAAAAATCTTTAAAATTTTCATGTTTTTTATATGGCAAAAGAACAGTCGATTTTCCGGAAAAAAATCGCCTTTTTTATTATTTTTCCCACTATAAAGATTTCAAAATATTCATCTTCAAATTTTTCTGATGTGCATGATTTTGTAGAGCATAACAAACTCTAAATTTTATCTCATTTTTCTGTTATTTGTACTTCAAATTTTCAACACAAAAAAAAAGTATAACATTTCTGAATCTCGAGATAAAAATGTTTTTGTAATCTTTAATATTTAGTTTCCATAAACCATATTTTGGAGAAGCTTTCATTTGATACAAAATTCAATATGTCTTCTATTTGAAATTATGGCGCTATCTCCTTGGAATAATATTATATCCAACTTTGTACAGAAGAAGATTTGTATTCTATATATATTTCAAACGTAGTTATGTTCCATTTTGTGCATTTCAAAAAAAAAATTTTAATTTAACAACAACCCTGGTGGAAGTACTCACCTAGAGAATACTCAAAAAGTACTCATGCTAGAAACTGCCACGAGTACTCATGAGTACTCGGGACTTTTGAGTACTCGTCGGTCGCACTCACGATAAGTTTCGAGTATATGAGTACTACACATCTCTACTTATGTGGCAGTGTATTGTAGTTGAGTGCTACAACCATTCACTTCTTAAATTTAGTAGCAACTAGACCATTTGAAGTTGCGGTCCAGCAAGCTTCGTAGGCTCTGTACAAGTCCGCTTCTCTGCAACACTCCAGTCACAGAAGGAAATGATTCTGTTAAAATTATGAACTTACCGTCCATAGAAAGTCAGCGCACGACGTCCTTTTCGTCCTTACGCATTGCATTCTGTCTATTGAGTCTTTTCAGAAAAAAAAACGACGAGTACTACAATGAGTACTCAGGATTTTGCCTATGAGTAGATCTGTAGTAAAAGATTCGTATGAGTACGTATTTGAGTACTCGTTCATTCTACATACTCATGAATTTTTGAGAGTACTTGCTCGAGTAATTTGAGTACTCATGCTGGTAAGTCGTACTCGCTGGATGAGTACATTCACTAGGGTAAAATCGATGTCATTATACAACTCATATTGAAAACTATAAGAACTAATTTCGAGAAAAAAAGTACGAATATAAATAAATTTATTCTATATTAAGATCAACAAGTATTATTAACAATGCAAGATGCTCTAATGAGTAGTACAGAATTATTTTTAAAAGAAACATTATCCAATCTAGGAATTGATCCATCTATAGTTGATCCACCAATTATAATAGAAAATCCTGTTTATGGAAGTCTTACTCCTAAATTTATAAACTTTGCTGAACCAGGAATGATGGTATCAATAATATTTTTTTGGCTATTGGTTTAACAGGATTAATATTTGTTATTGAGAAAAAAGAAGGTCTTTTAGAACATTGTTGGATTGCCGGTGTTACAACAATTGAAATTATGTTTGCACATATAATTGTTAAATTTTTTATACAAATTATTCAAATTATATTATTACTTGTTTTTATTGATTATATATTTAAAGTTGGTTGTCGTTCTTTTTTTTCGTATGATTTTATTTTTGTATTAAGATTGAAATTAAAGGTTCAATTTTCTTAGCAGCAGGAATCATTTTTCTTCAAGGAATTTGCGGTATGAGTTATGGTAAAAATAAAGAGTAGCTTCTTTTTTAATTTAGAATAAATTAAGTTTTCGTTTTTTCAAAAGGTCTTCTAATATCTTCCATGTGTGATGAAGAAATGGAAGCAATGCAAGTGGCACTTGGAAGTATTTTCCCTGTATTAATTTGTTCAGGTTTATTTCTTTTTTTATTATACTTTTCTGGTTTTCTTTACTGATAAATAATTGAAAATTAAAGGTATAATGTGGCCACTCGAAGGTATGCCATCATTAATGCGATTTATAAGTAATTTTACTCCATTAACACATACTGTCGAAGCAATGCGATGTATTGCTACGAGAAGTACTTAGTTCTTTTTCTTATGTTAATAAAAAATAATATTTGATTCAATATTTAGGTTGGTCATTTACACATTTTAAAGTATGGTTTGGTTTTGTCAACGCTAGTTCATGGAGTTTAGGATTTTTTATCATAGCTGCTATTATATTTGCTCTTAGAAAATAAAAGTACTTGTTCAGTATATGATTTATTGAACTGATAATAAATATTTTAAAATTTTTCTGAATAATACTTTTCAGCTCTAGTTTGACTATAAATGTGGGTCTAGGTGTGTGGTTGTGCATGTGTACGTCTGAAGAGTTCAACAATTTTTTTTTTATTTACGCCAATCGAATAGAAGAACTGGTGTCTAGGAAGGCCTATCAGTACAAAAAGTTTCTCGATCTTACAGCCAGAAATAAAATAAAAAAGGGGAAGAAGTCGAAAATATAAGAGAAACAAGACATTAGAGAATGAATCGAATAGAATACAATCAGAAAGAGAAAGAGTAGAAACGACTGAGAGAAAAATGATCGCGCGAGATAAAATTGCATGCCGAATAAGAGATGACGGAAGGAGAAAAAGAAAAGAAGTGCGATATAACAAAAGTTAAACAAACACGATTAAAGAAATAGCAAGTTCCTGGAGAAAAACATAGTTAGAATGTTTCGGGATAAGCTTTTAGTATTTCGATATCATCATAGGGGAACTGTGCTATCGTGTCAGGATGAGGATTATCATCATACCAGGATAGGCACTTCTGTAAGACTGAATCGTGGTCGACAAATCTTCTCGAACGACGGAGTCTCATTACTCTCAGCCTGCCACTAAGCCAGCTTTTTCTATGTGAATTAAGAATAAGCTGTTCTAAAAGCAGATCGCCATCTTTTGAGGAGTCAAGTGCTCTTAACTACTTAGACCAATATCGCGTACATCTATTTTCGAGAGAGACTTCATTTAGAACGAATGAGAAAAAGAAGTTTGGCCAATGTTGTATATGTAGCACTCGTTTAAGGCAGATGTAATATAATTTTGATAAGAATGACCGCTGACATTCAGAGAAAAGAGGAAAAATAGTGAAAAGCCACGTAAAGATCGGTAATACATAAGAAGAGAATAGTACCCTGCGCAAGTCTCTAGAAGTTGAACCATGAATGCGACAGGAATTAATCAAACCTATTCTTTGTCGTATTTTCATCACGGATTTATTGATCATAGTGGACCAACCAAGTTTGGGACTAATCCAATAACCAAGGTATTTAAAAGAAGTACACCACTTGATTGGGTGATTACCACACTGTAGATTAAATTTTGGGCCCTAGAGTTCAACAATTCTGACAACTATATCTGTATCCAGTCCCTCGATTGAATTGCTGAAATAGATCATTATCAGATCTTTACTGCCTACAACAACATTTATGCGGGTAGATCATATAGGTTAAAGAAAATAATGCCCTCTATTGTTTTCAGAGAAACTAAGCAACAACAATTTTATAATGCTTCAAACATCGAAAGAAACAGATCTTTTACAAATATCCGATTTCCCTGGATGGGCTATAAAAACCAAGGTTGCTATTATAGACCTTCTAAGCACTAATATCACATACTTGTGAATTATATTGCTATTATACACCCTAAAACATCGATCCTACTGCATTAAGCTTTTTAGTGCTATTCTTTTAATAATACACATTTAATAGTCACCATGAGAATACCAAGTGTATTTTGATTGATTTCTTTGAACTAATAAAAATTTGTTGCACGAGACAAATGAAACGCTTAAAGTTAAATATCAGTTAGAAAGGAAATTAGGGAGTCCAGATTACCGATATTGAAGAATATTGGCGCACAATAGATGCGTGCCGTTCATCAAAGTTTTTTCAATAAATGTCAACGGAAAATAGAAAGGTACGGTCTCTTTGCAAAACGGTTGTCGGAGCAGTTTTTCGAAAACAATCTAATCGAAACGCGAGTTTAGTCAAACAATTTTAGTCTGTAATAAGTTGCGCGACGTTTATCTCTTTGATTTCTCAGTAGATGCATAGTATTTCAGAGAAATTATGAGTTCTATCAAAGAGAAATCCAGGTTATCAACTTCATTGCAACTTAAAGATTGTATCCATACATAAAAATATGTGACTACATAGTTGGACGACGGCATGAAAACATAATCACAAACTCATTTTGTATTACACAAATCTCTCTCCATGAACAGGCTCTCAAGAAAAGATTTATTAGAGTATGTAGATTTTCTTTAATTGGAGTCCTTTGAAATCTTTTAAGATCTCTTGGAATCTTTCAGAATCTTGAAGTCTTGAAATTTGCTTTTTCCTCTTTGGTTGTTCTAGAATCGCACTTCGTTGAAATTTGGCGAAAGTTTATAGCATTTGTTGAACTCAGTTGTGCTCCACGTGTATGAAGCATGGATTCATATATTTGAATCAGTGCAAACTGCCATGCTTGTTTCATTCTGTTGGAAAAATCCAATTGTGCTTCATAAGACAGCAGCGTCAGTAGGATAATGTTATACAATATAACATTTGCTTCAAACAGAGGGGTATGACTAAATCATCACTATTTGCTCGAGAGTGCGAGCGCATATATACTTATCACAGAGAAAAAGCCATCCTAATGTGTTTTACATAATATGTGTAGAAAGAACAAAAAGTTGTCGTTCTGCGCATATGCATCAACGAGTTGATCGAAAAAGGAGGAATAACCGGATTAATTCTCAGTGACGCTGGTTTTATCGTATATCTCCGATCATTTGCGTCTTTTGATAAAGGTATTTTCATATTAACATTTACGCCATTGTCAT